GAGGGGACGACTAGGGGACGCAAGCGGAAGATGTGAATAGAATCTAATTTTCAAGGAATTTCAGGAACATCTACCATTTTTGTACATAATCCCGCCTCCTTCACCCTCCTCTCGCCGATGGATTTTTTGTGGAAATTGCTGACATATGGAGGGTGACAGAAAAGGTAAGACAGCTGTGAAGTAATAATGTGGTAACTGAGGTCGTAGGGGTCGTATTTGAGAAATTACTTGACAGTTTCAATGCGCTTGATGTTGTTCGACATTATCCAAGAGCTGTAACCCCTCATGGAAGCCATTGTTCTTATTTCAGATTTGCTCATTTGTTGTACAGAAGACTCTCGGCTTATTGTTTGGACACTCTAACATTGATTTTTCTTAATGGAGGCACTGAGTGTAACTCCTTATTCCTATTCCGATTTTGAAAGAGAACGTGAAACAACTCGAAACGTGCTAGCCATAAGCCTTCAGAAAAGATCGTATTATGAGGCAATTTGAAGGGGGGGGGGGCAAATTAGAAATCAGCTGATTTCGAACAAGGGGATACACGGCTGTTCAACTGCCAACCGACCTTCATGTGCACTACTATGGCGCCAAGCGAACTGCGAAACAGATTAATACAAGATGAAAATGTAAAAAAAAAGCCTGTCCCAGTACTCAATTTTCGTCCAATTGCAGGATTCAACCTTTCGGAATTGACCTTTGAAAACGAGAAGTACTCTCTTACTTCAGAGCCCTGTCCCTGCCTACTACACCAGGACTGAGAACCGAGAAACCAGTCTCCAAAAAAGCTCTACATAAACCCTCATGGGTCTCAGAGCAACTCACTATCACAGTAGAGTTTTAAGGTATTCAGAGGAAGCTCCTATAGTTTTGCAGCACTAATCCAACTAGCTCGTGACAATGAAAATCGGAAAACTGGCAAATGTTCGGAACGCGAAGGGAAGCTGATCTGATTTTTCAAAGCCTTCACAGACATTTCTATGCCACCATTTCAGAGACAATTACTCTAGCTATAGAGCACAATTTTGAGTATTCGGTACTATCGCATGAATATTTTATGTGACACTATTTTGCAAAATGTTAAGAACGTAAGGACACAACTTCTTATTGCTAGGCATTTGTCGTGTGCGACTGTGCATTTTACTTAGTGAACAAAAATCAAGTAGAAAGTTCACACCTGAACATCATTGCGACTGAGTCACCAGTTTTTGCCGACACATAGAACGCTTTGAGGTCGTGCTGCTTTGGCGAAGGCACAATGTGCGTCCACTGACACTTTCCGTAAACGTTCCTCGTCCACTTTGTTGCCGACAACAACAATTTGTGGTGGCTATAATATTTAATATTAGCTATTTGTGTACAGGGCGGAAGTGGTGTAGTGGCAAGTGGCACGCTTACCACGCGAGCGGTCCGGGGATCAAATCCTGGGTCGTGAGTCGCCCGGGCCAACCAAGCCTTCCATCCCTCCGGGGTCGGTTAATTGGTACCAGACTTGTCTGGGAGGATAAAAACACTGACTCGGCTGGCCCCCGCAAGTCATTGTATAGGCCACATCGCATTCAAACGCCACTACGAATGTACAAATGGAAGTAGAATGCGTGCCGCATCCCAAAAAGGGATTGATCAACGGCAAATGCTTTATCCTTTTATCCTTTTATTTGTGTACACTCCTACATACCACAAACACCTCTGGGGAATTTGGAAAGCACTAAAGAAATCATTTGGAAAAAAATAAAACAGAAATCACGTCCGGGAATCACAGATCAAACCATCATGCCTTAGAACGGAAGATCCCATAAGGGAAGTAGGAAAACCGGAAAACCGAAACTAGTTCCGAAAAACAATGTTTCTGCCTGGAGAGATCCCTTAGAGTGCGCCATGTACACCAGCTCAAGGTGTAATCACAAAATGTAAGCGCACATTGGCCAAAAGCGAATACAGAGTTTCCTAGGTGTATTGTAGGATCAAATCGGGGCTAAATAAACCAGATATCCCACAACTCCGAGGTTTGCAAGAAAATGCTTTCAAACATCTCAGCAGAGATAAAAACACTGACTTGAACATTGCTTATTCTTCACAAGCGTTACTGAATCTATGTGTGCCAGATCGCATTCAAATTGTTCCAGCATTCTGGACCTAAGTCAACGGCGTGGCGCATCCCAAAAGATAGTGGTCAATGCTGGATGTTTCATACCTTTCCACACTCGTCGAATAGGACGGACTTATTTAACGCGTCTGCGATTCTTAATCATTTCAAACTCCTGGCGCATCCTCCTCTACAAACTCTATAGCGAAGTTATTGAATTCATGACCATTTGTCCCCACTCAACTCACAAACCCCTTGATTAGACCACACGGCGCTAAAACACCTCGACTCAGTCCCTCCTTCGCTTCGTCTCCGCGTCAGTCGATAGTCGCCCTCACCTCGTACTAACGTTACCAGGACCGCGCATTGACAAACAAATAAACGACCCTGGCACAGCTAAACAACACAGGCGCAGACACGCAGGGCATGCCGTGCAAATAATGGCGGCGATGGATGATGCCCGGTGACGTTAGCGACGCAATGCAACAATTCACCTACAGGAACCATCCATTGTGATCGTCAATCTTTAAATTATCTTCTGTTGTTATGAAAACCCGATAAAATACGCCGTGCACCTGCTTACTATTCAGAATTGTAGGGGTGTGTTCAATGCTCTATACACATTACAGCTGAAGTCACCTTGAGAGCAAGCACGGACAGCCGTCTCAGTATGCTCAGTTTCCAAGGCGCCTTCGCTTCCACATACGACAATGAGAGCGGAATGGGAAACTTTTGAGGGGAAAGAAGCTGGATAGCAACAGTAAAGTGTGGGCGCCTCTAACTTCTGCGCTACTTCCACACTGCCATTTTATCGTGAACGCCGTCGGAACTCGGGTTCGAATCAGCTGTTTGTGCTGATTTTCAGAACTAACACAGAAAAGGCCTGATTAGCTCAATCAGATAGTCATCGTGAGCTCATCTTGGAATTGAGTTGAGGGCCCTTGTTGGTGCACTAATATCGTTTCTCGAAGCAATTTAATATTCCTTCACCTCATTAGCCAGTGTAATGTACTTTTTGCTGCTATTTATAAATTACGCTTCGAATTGTTTTTTTAAAGAAGGTTCAGCCTTTCGGGTCATCCAGGGTAGACAAAACAGAAACCGGAAACGGAAACTCAAAAAGCTTCCACTTCAACAAATAGTTGATGAGATCTAGACAGGACACACATGATCACTGTTAATGAAGGACATAGCATTATATTTCGAAATGCTTCTTCGAAAGTTCGAGGAAGAGCGTGAGTCTCTGGACAGGGTCAGTCCTATCGTTGTTACTTTTTTGTCACTTTTCAAAATTTTTACGACCCCCCTCCCCCAAGGTGGACTTGGTACGACCCCCTTTTCGACCCTCGACCACCATATTCCTCTCTATAGTATTTAATTCTGGTACCACTCAACCCACCAAACTCCGCCCACTTTTTCCTCCAAAAATGCCGTCGAGCGGGGGGGGGGGACGAAGGGGGATGCCATTTCAAGTACCTCGGACTCTTCCAAGGGCAGCATTCAGAGTTCCTGGGCTGAGCGGATCCTATAGACTTTGGATCCCACAAATTTACAAACCCATCAGTAGTGGTTATATCACTATAAACGCACCGCCACCATGCTTACCACGCTCCAGATCGTGAACGGTTGCACTGCGCGAAGGAGTGGCTAAAAACTCTCAATTTGTCTTCTACCATGGTAGTTGATGACTTTCAACGTAAGCCTCGTTACGAAGTGTTCCATGCCTCAGTAGATCTCCAAATGGCACTGCAAGCCACGGCCTTGTTCTTTTGAGACGCATGCCAACACATTGTTAGTGTAACTCAATGACAGTTGAGAAATAAGGAAACGACTCCGCCATTTTCAACGATCCTTTCAAGTAACATTCTCCGACAGCACAGAGGTAAAAAATGCTGCGTACCAAAAAAAAATCAATAGAATCAATCAAAATCAATCAACAATCAAGAGATTAAGAGCTTAGAAAAATCGAAGACATCTCGCGAGCGCGCACGGTTTTCGTAATTTTCACCCAGCCTTCACAAAATTGAGTCCGCTGAAATCCCAGTCTTCCTTCTTGTAGTGTCTTCGACGCAATCTAGCCTGTTCTATGATTATATGACCTATGAATCGCTTCAATGACTGTCTGAGGACAAGTTTGGATTCAAAAATATGATAAACACTTATCTCCCATGATAAACTTCTGCCTCTTTGGTGGGCGAACCTGTTTCGAAAAAGCTGGCACCGTGCTACAACAGTGGTTTCTTTGCCTCACAGATGGGCTAGGACTCCTAGTATAGCTCCCCGTATCTCATCTTGTCAAAAAAAAACGTGAAAGAGTGCTTCTTGCCAAGAAACATTTACCACTTAAAGGAATCTTCCACGGAAAAAGCTCCGCCCTCATTACCACAGAAAACGATACCTTAAAGGAATCTTCCACGGAAAGAGTGATCATTTTGTCTTGTGTGTAGGATTAGTATTATCGAAACTAACGCTTATGTTCCGTTCTTTTTGCTATGCTCATGAGGCTAGGGGCCTAAGGGGTATCGTTTTTCTGTGGTAATGGAGGCGGAGCTTTTTCCGTGGAAGATTCCTTTAAGCACATGCGATCTTCATTTCAGTGGCATACCTCAGGTTAACTGGAGCCATATTGCCCATACAAACCTAACTACTACCTCTACATATAACTTACTGGCAGTATCAAAACTCTAAACAAAACACGGCCATCGAGACAACATCCACGGTAACTAGCCTTGATTGTACCTTGGTCGTTACCCAGAAACTAAAAATTAGACCACCTAAAAAATTCAGACCTCTAAAGCTCCCCGATTACACCTCACCAGCTCACCCCTACCTCGTCGATGTGCATTCAAATAGGCTGTTTATGTGCCGGAGATGTTGACTACTACGTCGACCGAGGCCTAAACAAGACAACACGTCAACAATAAACAAGTCTTGAGGAGAACGCCACCGCTAATGTCGCACCAGCATCCATCCCATTCATTTCTACGGCCTTGGACGTTACCCTCTCTGAAGACAGTTCATAGAAATATAGAAGAATCTTCTACTTCAGAAGATTCAACACTTGAGATTACAACAAGCAGTTGTTCAGAAAGTAGAACGGATAAAAAGATCAGAGAAAAGGGATTGGAATTCATTGACGATGCGCCATGCATACCATTCCCAATGGAGTCGCTGAGCCATCCGAATGCGTAATCACCTTGAACGAAGAGTTGTATCGCGTTCGGTGATTCCCCATATGAACTCACCAACAGTCCTGCGGGATGTCCGGTTGGTTGGTCCCGAGTGGAATCCAATCTATGGATTGTTCTGGGATCTCCTGGCCACCACTGTGCTACCCTCTCATATAATGAAAAATCTTAAGTGAACCAGATGCGATTCTTCAAAAAAGCGGAACCGGTAATATGCAAAATTTTCCACGCTACGAAAGCCGGCCAATGAATCAGCTGCTTTGTACAGCCACAGCTCCGATCTTTTCCCCTATGACTCATCGAATCCCTCCCTCGTCCCTTCTTTAAAATAACTGCAGTGCTTTTGTTTTCCTATCCTCCAATTTCATTCAAATATGCCCACCGTACAACAACACCATTTTTTGCAAAAAAAAACAACAACAAACAAACTATATGCAATGCATCCCTTGTTTATTTCATGAATTCTCTTCAAAACAAACACCTTTTATCAGACTCTTCAAGCCTCACCTATGGGGAGTATGAGAGCCTTTCTGCAGTAAATATGACGTGGTTTGCGATCTTGTGATAAGAAGCGCCAGTTCCGGAATGAACAAACTCGACTTCATCCCTTTCCGGATCGCAGCACTTTTTGCCGTGCGGGCGCCGTATGGCGGCTCCAGCGACTGCTGCGCGGCGATTTATAATATTATATCATTGACTCTATTCCCATAAACCAATGTATTTGTATGCGCTTTTGTATTTGTCATATCTAAAGGTATCTATGTGGTGAATTTGACACAAAACTTTTGCATAAAAAACATGATAGGGCCATAAAAAGGGAGGCAGGAATGCAAATTGTTCAAATAAGTTGTAATGGGGAAAAAGGGACCCAGAAATGTCCAAACGTTTGGATGCAATAGCATCAGATACGACGTGCACGTGATGGCATAAATTCTGTGTTGTATGAAGTGTTTTCAAATGATTTATAACTGTTTTTCCTTGCTCGAAGTGGAAATCCATTTAATTTTTGGTTATTTTAGGAACTAGTTTGAGATCTAAGACTAGGTTTTTTCCATAATGTACGACATGAGTATGTTACATAAATACAGTGTAAAACATAGGAACTTTGTCAAGAAACGAATCCTTGGAAAACATCATCCACGTGGACGCCCGTTGAACCTCCGGACGCCTGCACACCCCATGGGTCGGGTGCCGGAAGGATAAACGAGCCTTTCCCATTACTCAAAGGACAGGTAAGATCCATGGGGCGGATCCTAAAATCGCTGTAGCTGACGGATACGTAAGGCTGCCCATTATAATGTGGCCTATTCGTAGCTGGCGCTTGCACGTAAGCTTCGGTGCGGACTACAGTCAGCGAGATTCGCCTTACGTATCTCTAAACTGAACTCCGTCTTTCTAATCGGTCAATGTGCTGCCCTCGGCGCTCTCAGCGGCGCCCGTACTATTGCGACTTTGAATTTTTACCACACGGTGATTGATGACTCGGACCACCACTACCACCAAAGCTTACAACTAGACATTTACCTCCTTTTCGGCACTTAACTCTTCGTACAAGGAATATGGAGTTATTCCACAGCAGGGTCAATCGTACCGTGGCGACAAATCTAACGCTAAGACGAGAGTATCGATGAGGGTAACGTAAGCACGAACACAGAACGGGCTCGATGGTGGGCGAGAGAAGGCATACTGCCCGGCGTCGGGGAGCGGGGAAACAATTCGGAATCCAACCGTCGCTCAATATCGGTCCAATACAGAACGAGTTGACCGGATTCAAGAAGTCCGCAACGGCTGGTCAATTTCGGAAACAAACTACGTTTTTTCTGTCTTAAAAGCCAATTTCTCCGCTCAGGTATTACGCAGTGCAAATGTTCGTCAGTCTACAGCCATGGGAAAGATAGAGGAAAAGTCTCACTAGATAGCGACGATTCGTAACTATTACTTTACATAACTCTCTAAACTTATAACTCAAAGAGCTGCTAGCCTTACCAAGGGACAACGACAGCTTATTCAAAAAAGGCTATAAAATGGAGTAAAAGGTTGTCTAAAGCCGTGCATCACAAAATAGCGATTCACGACTCATAGTTCACAATGGAGCCAGCCAGCAGGCCAGCTAAGCCCGAACTGGGAAAACCCAACGACCCAGGAGCCTCTAGCCACGACTTCGCGATCGATTGGTATAAAACATATCGGATATTACGACTATTTTTTTAATTTTGACTTGTTTTTGTTTGCTTGTTAACTGTGATTCTTGTGAAACATTTTCGAAAATTATTGAACCAAAGAAAGCAGAAAAAGTCGTAGAAGGAGCAGACCAAGCTCACCTTTTCCTGACTTTTCGTCACTCGGCGAATCACATTCAGCCAATCCTGAGTGTTGTCGAAAGAGCTCATATTTGTGACGTCATACACGATTAAAGCCGCATGTGATCCATAGATGTACTTGTCGATCATCTCACCTGCGATGCTCTGACCGCCAATATCCCATACCTGAAATTTTGGTTTAGCGATTCTTTTTCCATTTGACTACTCCTTTTTGGAAAAAATGGAGCTTCCTGAACATTCACAAGTCCCTTGAGCAGTACTCCCGTTGGATGTGCGCGCTCGCTCATGTTCAGTAGTACATTTACTTCAGCGGGGGAATACCTTTATCCCGCGCATTGCAGGCCACGTGGGACAGTGCGGTTCATATGCATCCCGCACTCTATCCATTTTTTATTTTTCTTCGCGCAGTTTCTTCCAAGGATCTATCTTTATCTATAGATATGAAACCTCGGAAGATCTAGATCCTTTCTATAGATCATACCTTACCGTAACTATAAGCAGGTTGACCAAATGGTTATATGTACTGTACTTTAGTTCAGCAATGGTTTCATAAGCCTTGAGGAATTTTCAGCAAGGGTTTTTTTTCAGTTCTACTGCGCTCGCGTTGCACCCGTGCGATCGCAACGCGTTATTTACGCATAGTCCCGCGTCGCACTGCCCCACATTCGATACCACTGCGCGAAACCTGCAGCAGGATCTGCTTGCAATCAGATGCTTTCCATTGCTCCTAGTTGCGCAATATTTTCTATTACTAAGTATTAAATCGAAGGAAACAAAAAAATTACCTAAAAGTTTCAAATTCGCTCACCTGCATGAGTACCTGTACATCTCCTGGAAGTGAAATTCGCTTTGAGAAAAAGTCCAATCCTAAGGTCTGAAATAATATCCCTTCTGATTAAAATTGAAGAAAAAATCAAAGCAATTTTCGAACATCTCGAAATAGTCCAAGTATAACAGTCGCACTTCTTAGAAACAAGTGGAGAGATTCAATAATGATTTCTTCCCTACAAATTCGCCACCTACCCTGCCTTTGGTGAAAACCCTCATGAAGGTGGGGGCGAGCGAGTTTTCTGTTTGGAGTGCACTTTACCGCGTAAACACCTCATGGTCGGTGAGAAATAATCCATGTCACCATAGGTTGTTTATACAGCAAAATCGCCTCCCGTCCCCCTCCCCGTACACACAAACATTGCATGAAAGTTCTGATTGGGTTTGGTAGTCCAACTTCTATTCATCAGCTAGAGGTCTTTATGAGCACGAATGCCAGTTGACACAAGCATCTTAGCATACTTCTGACGTCTAAGCTCAAAGAAATGAACGAACAATGAAAAGATCTGAAAAACCTACGAAAAATGCGCCACACACCCTACCTTCACTCGGAAGTAGTGTGAAGGGAAGTGGCGCCACATTTCATACAAAAAGTCCAGGCGTCCGCCCAGTTTGACTGTCGAGTTGAGGAACTCTCGCAGAGAGGTCGTATTTGTCAGGGTGGGTCATGGGGGTCGTACTCATGGGGGTCAGTAACGTCAGTGGCATCGTGGTGCAGATAGGAGGGAGAGGGTGTAGCGCAGCAGAAAATAAGGGTATGTGAGAAAACATGATTAAATATTTTGCAGGTTTAGTCGTTCCGTCCCTCTACCTTCGAGAAGGAAGTTTTTGAAAGTACTACAAAGAATGAAAGTGCATCTTTGCAAGGAACAGGGTCACATGTGCACACGCGCTGCAAAGGCACCTCCTCCATCTACCGCCCGCTCCCTCGCCATACCTCACTGAGAATGACACTGTATTAATAGCAACAGTTCTGGAAAGAGCTGGGCAAAGACTGGGCAACAGGGTGGGGGGTAGGTCATCATCATATGTGTAACACCTTTCAATAGATTCTACAACTTGAGTGGAGGTCGGATGCATGGCCTATACTGAGACGAGATCGGACGATGACGATTGCCCTTTCTTGTCGCTTACGTTGGGAGAATTTATTCTAGACACATTTCGAGAGTTGCCAACGAATTAACTTGCAATGGTGAAGAAGGGAGCGCTTGGTGGCCGAGATCCATCCTTGATAGATCCTCGACGCAAATATCTCCTCAACTAGAAAATGTAGAAGAAAGCTAAACAAGCATGTGAGAAGCGCAAAGCTTCCGCTTTCCAAAACTGTCCTCTTTTTTGGCATAGTTGCCTTGCAAGTGGTAAAACTCGCCATGGAAAATCAGCATTCCTCGACGATCCTCGACAATAGTCCTGAGAGCCTGTCTCTGGCTGAGTGAAGTTTTGAGATTCATAATTAATTGCCCGATTGTAACAATCACAGCTCCTATCTAACTACTGCCACATACTGCTCCAAAGATGTGAAATGGGGGAACGACCTGTTCTGCCGAGATCTTCGATGGTTTCGGCAAATGCGACCCACAGCAAACCGCGCCACAACGAATGCTTCTGTACCGTGACCATATAATGGAACCCGCTTACTCACATTCAAATCAAAAGTTAGAGGGTCGTATTTACGTCTAGTCCAGATGGGGGGCGGGGTGTTACTAGAGTGCACAACCGTCATCGACAGCGATTTGCACCCCTGGTCCCGCCTCAAGCCTTGCCCAGGTCAAACAAGGTTCATCCGAAGTCATCCGTCCACACCATTCGAACAAGAGTATCGCTTCGTAATTTTGAGCGAGGGAGAGCATTCGGGTCAGCAAAGTGAACCAAATCCTAAAAAAGTGCAAAAGGGGCCGTAAAAAGGATTTTCTGACGGGTTCCTCGATGATTTTGACGAAAGTTTGATGAAAGTAGCACGAATTAGGCAAAATTTTCATACCACCAACTCCCCCCCCCCGCTCCCCGCTCGGCTGCCGTTCTGTCAGTAAGGGCGGAGTGGGGTAGTCGATAAAAGTCAGTGGTAACTGTAGAAACGAGCCTGATGCTGTCGGATAGGAGGAGGGTCGTATTAAGGAGTCTCCGCAATGCTGAATGGTGGTGAGGGTCGCCGCTAGATGGCGGCCGAATTTTTGGAAAAGTGCGAATGGCGACGTCGTATTCTTACATCCTAGATTTCTATGGGGTTAGCGCACTAAGCTATCTAGGAGAACAAAAATAGTGGTTACATAGGCTGGCCTCGGCAACCCTATATAGGTTATTCGCGTCCATACACAACTTTGATTCCGCACTTATGTAGAATGCATGCGCGCATCTCAAAAAGGGATCGATCAACGCCGTACGACTTCTTTTTTTACTTTATTTCGTTTGACAAACTAATTGTGCCATGAAGAGTGATAAAATGAGATTGAATGGCAACTGCATTCGATCGAAATGACAGATTGTTCTCAGAATCGCATTGTTTTCACCTAATGTACTGCCCTGGAATGAATCTTGGCAAAGATCCTGCCTTTACTGATAAGAAAAAATTCCACTTAGTTGAGCAGAAGAGTTCAATGGCCAGCGCCAGCGCTCACCACGAAGGTCACATCCTATGATCGAACTCCGCCCACGTCAGGCTTTCTATCTCTGGAGAGTGGGTTCGTTGGCAATAGCCAGTCGAACATACGCCCAAACACGTGAGTCGGTTGATCCTGGCAGCTTGTTGGTCAGCTATATCGCAATCTTATACGTATCCAACAGAAACAAATAGGGTTGCGCAAACCCAAACGGACCTGATCATGCTGACGTGTGTTATCATTACGAGTGTGATGTGGCTATACGCAAACTTGCGAAAGAGTCAGAACACCGACAATTTGTCTATACTATATTTCTGTTGTTCCCCGCGAGCGTCACTGGATTATGTCGAGGTTACGTCAATTGGCTCAACCTGGCCGACGGCTATCTCACCGAACTAGAGTTCTCTAATCTCGAAGGCTTAAAGGGACTATATCTGTAGGGTAGCTCATTGGACCGACTGCGTCCCAACGGGTCAACGGTCGCGCTTTCACTTTTTTAAAAACGACCCCAAAACCACCGTCTGTTTTAGTGAACCTCAATATGATCCCCCTCTTCATCCCTGACCAGCTCCCTATCCTATTCCAGACCACCTCGGTACCCCACTCCAGCGCACACCCCTCGACAATCCATGGCTTTGCTAAAGGTGACATGATGGAACTACCGCCCAGGTTTTCTCTCCAAAACGGTCGTCGAGTAGGGGTGAGGGATAAATATAGCTGAGAAATCACTCATCCTGAATATCCCCACATTTTTCGCGAAGGTTTCGCTAAATCCCTGAAAAAAACCTTAAGAACGACTCTCGCAGCCACGACCCCTTTGACTTCCACACAATTATGACCCCCTGCTTACAATTGTCTGGAAGCCAGACCAACTCTAAATACGACCCTCTCCAAATCGCGAATACGAGCCCCTCCGCTTGAACAGTTTGAACGGACAATTGACCTAGCCTGGACTAAGCAGAGCGGCAAAACGGAACCTCCAAGCTTGGAAGGCAGAACCCCAACTTCAAGCTTGGAAGGAAACCCTAGAACGGCCTAGAATTCCACGGATAGTAGATTGTTGCTATTAGCTATTGACTAGACTACACTACTGACTTATTCTCAATGCAGAAGAACCATTCGAAGAAAGAAAGGTGCCCACAGCAAATAAATCGAGCTTCGATATTTGCGCTCCACACAGATATAGTGTACTGTAAGAAATTCACCGAAATTCAAAAATCGCCGCGCCCACTGAGAGATTGCCGCGTCGCGACGCCGCGCAACCCGCCGCGACAACGGGACGATTCTGTTGACCGCCCCCTTTGATCCCAGATAAAAGTGCGATACTGAGTTTTTTCGACGTGGTCGTGTGACGCTGTAAGTTTTTCACGCATTTTTGCAGCGGCGCCGAAGAATTGCGGTGGTTGCAAAGAACAGAACCAAACCGGAACCCCGGATCAACAATCAACAGGAAATGTAATTGATCACACGAAAAAAGATAGGGAGTACTGAGACTTTCAATTCAGTAGTCAGTTTAAACCTCGTCTTTTGTGGACCGACCATCTCTGTTCAGTTTTTCTGTTTTCAGTCGCATTTTCCGCCTAACCAAACCACGGTTGCACTATCGCGTATGGAACTGTTCATATCAGTGATAAGAGCGACCAGCGCCGGAGAAATAATGCCGCGATACACGACAAAACACGTTTCGAGGTGTTAACATAACTGGGTTGTGACACGTTCTCACAGGTTTTTCTCGCAATAGATGCGCGGTTATTCGAATGACCCTATCATGGGTGACTTAACACACCGAAAAGAGTCGCCCATCCAAGAAATCAATAATAAACAATGCACTCCACCAGAATTTCAACATTCATTTTTCGAAAAAAAATGTAGTTTACAGTATGTATCGATTAGTGGGGAGGTGTTGCTGCCATGCGACACGCCACGAAAGCAGAAACGTTGCTTACGCGCGATAGACGCACCTTAATCAATTTTCTATGCACAAGTACTAGGTTTTGTTGACATTAATTAACAGTTGCGACTCCAAAAAAAATCCTCGACACTTAAAGGCACATATCGCAAGTGGAAAAATAGCGCTTCTCGCGCCAAGGCCGATGTCAGACTTTGCGAATCGCGCGATTCGCCAATCGCTTAGTAGCGAATCGCGCGATTCGCCAAGTCTGACATCGGCCCAATGAGGATAGCTATGGTAGTCTGTGCATCAGTACTGAAAGAAAGCAGAAATATGGCCACGAATTCTTGAAATCACATAGCACACCGAGCGTGTGGGCGGAGTTTTCGCCCCGCCATTGCACAAATTTCACTAAAAAGCCGGTTTTCTGATATCATAAAATACGCCGAAGTTATAGGACCACCCAATGAGTATCTCCCAGATTCGGAGCACAAACCT